TTTCTAGTTGCATCATACTTGTATAAAAATAACAATGTCGTTTTCTTTCCCATCAATATATTAATAAATCCACAGCCAAGGAGAATATAAAATAAAAAAACACTCCACCAACCAAGCAGACGTCCATCATGCTATCACGGCAACGATAATGTCGATATATATATATATATATCATTCACCGATACTATTGATATTGTTTACCTTGAGAAACGTGTACAAGGCAGGCAAGAGCGCCGGCGGTGGGTTCAACAACGAGCTCAAATCCAACGGCGAGTTCTTCGAGGCAGCAGCAGGTTTAGTAGTAGTAGTAGTAGTACTAGTAGTACTATTCGCCCATGGATTGGCAACCAACCCCGCATACCATTCAAAGAAGAACGTGACAGTGTCGGCATTTGCCGCCTGGATATACGCATGCAGGCGCGGCGCGGGCGCGACCACGGCCATGCCTTGGAGAAACTCGAACGCAAACACAATATCCACGACGAGCTCTCGGGTCATGGGATGGCTTGTGTCGTACGACGCCACCAACGGTACGAGCACGCCCGTGGTCCACGTTTGTTTTTCATTCTGATCCATGAATGGAACTAGCGCGGGTACGAGGGATAGCAGCGCCGGCGTGCGGTCGCCGGCTAGCAACATGCGGCGAAGGGCGTGGCGGATCGATGGCTGGGCCGTCCACGGCTCGCCATGTTGACCATCTTCAAGAAGATCTTGGCCGCGGCGGAAGCGCTCGACGGCATGCAGCATGGCCACAAGCGCATTGGAATGGTACTGGGTATCGTTGTTGTGTGAGTTGGCATTGTGGCTAGTGTCACCTTGAACAATCCATTCGCTTGAGAGCTGGTCCACGAGGCTCACGTCAGCGTAAAACAGATCGAGCACGCTAAACCCTGTCGCATGAATTTGGTCGGTCGTGTACCCGCGATGGCGGACCAGCACAGCGTGCATCATCTCTAGCAGCAACTGACCACCACCCGATTCCACGGCTTGGTTCAGCTCTTCCGAATACGCCAATAAGGTCGTGGCGGCGACGAGTTTCTCATCCAAGTCGTTCAAATCCCCACGGGCACTTGGTGGCAGCACAGAAACCAACCCCGTGGACGTGATGAACCGGATAAAATGACGGTATCGCGTACATTTCTCATGTAGTTGGTACTTGATCAGGTGCGGCGCCAGCGACGACGTGTCCTCCCCCCCCCGTCCTCCCCAGTGGAGCCCCGTCGCAGGTTTGGCATCGACAATCTCGAGGCCGACGTCGACCACCGCCTGGGCTAGCCGGTCCCCGCCAGGGGGACAGTTGATCTTGACGGTAGATGCATTGTGGACGGCGGCGGTGACGTCGAATTGCTGGAAGTGATTCAGTACAAGCATCTTGCACTCGGCCAAACTGCGATGCTGTTGCGAATAATCGAGCCACACACGAGGGTTGATGTCGGAAGTAGGCGATACTTTGTATCGTTTGGGGTCGGGAGCGTTGTCCTCGGCGGCGGCTGGCGGCGATGGCGCGCGATGTGTCCACTCGAACGACCGGAGCTGCCGCACCGATCCCGTCGACATGTACAGCAGCGACTGATGCAGTACCCCGACGCCCGTGGACACGGACACAACCGGCATCGCATGGACATGGAGCGGCAAGTGTGGAAGCCGCGGCACGGAGATGGCAAACACGACCGACGGCGTCACCACGTACAGGCTTTGGTCGTCCACGGGCACGCTTTGGACGCCGTCGAACGAGGCCACGGCGCCGATGCGGGCGGACCGACGGTACCGCGGCGGGTCCGCCATGGACGCGGTAAACTCAAACAAGTACAGCACGACCCCGTTGTTGTCGTTGGCGCCAGTTTGAAAGCCCACAAGCACAGACACATGGCTGGGTGTGACCAACGGAATGGACAAACAGCGCGCGTACACCAAGATGCTGTTGGCTTCGTGCTGGGCAAAGTACTCCATGAAAAACCCACACAGCTGAAATGTCCACTGTGGTTCGTACGTCGCGCCTTCGTCCGTACTAGTACTATATCGCAGCGCACTGCGCGTTAACGTCGAGTCCACGTGCAGTACGAGCAGTTCCGACGACGTGGGGATGACCTGTGTGACCAGGATCGGCGACGGCGTCGAGGACGTGAGGAAGCGCGAGATGACGTGCGACCACAGGTTGGGCTGACGCGAGCGCAGCTTGGACACGCGCAACGATGATCGATCGTCGTCGTCGAGTTTGATCTCCCACAAGGTTTGCGTGGACGTGGCCGCGATGACGGGAAACGCAGCGGGCGACGCGTGGCGGACGGTCTCGGACGGGTCGTCGAAGCGCAGCCGCGTGACGACAGGAACGTCGTGGCTGCTGCTGCGACTGATATCGTCCCAGAAGCAAACGCGGCCATCTACGGTGATCACCAACGCACAAATCTGGGTCGCGTTGTGGAACGACGTGGCGGCGACGACGACGTGGTGCTTGCCGCCGTCGTGCAACGGCAGCATTTCGGGCGGATACGGCAGGGTTGTCAAGGTCGGCAAGTGCATCGCGGGACTATCCTTGCCGTCGATCGCACGGTGCACGAGATGCGAGTTCCATAGCACCAAGTGGGTCGGCCCCATGACGGCGAAGAACCCGAGCTCGTGGCCAGGCAAATGCACGCGATGAAACGTGGCATGACCTTGGCGAGCATGTTCCAAGAATGCACGGGCATCTCCGTCAGAGTCGTCTAGGTTCTGGAGGATATGGTGGGCGTGTGACGAGTCTTCCGACAACACGGTGAGGTCGATCGATGCCGACCGATGTCTGCGTGGAGACAACGGCGATGTATGCACCGACACCGTTCGTTTCTTCTCCACCAACGGAGGAGGAGGTGAAGAAGAACGAGCCTGGTGATTCGTTGATCCAGCATGGAAGTGCGTCGAGTTCTTCCGACTAGATGAGGAGACCTTCGGGCCTGGAACCGCGGACGCGCTTTGTTGCCGCCGCCCAAACATATCGTGGTGGTGGGACTTTTGAATTGCGCGGTGGAATAAAATAAAGTTTCCTACAAATTCCTAGTGAATATAAAATAAATAATTTGCAATGGAAATAAAATAAACTTTGCTACAAAGCCCTAGTTATTAAATACTTTGATCGACAATTGAAATAAAATAAAGAGCCATACAAATACCAAGTAATAAAAACATTGCCCATGCTTTAACGTTCGATTCGGTCTAGCTGAACCACGGTTTAGCTCCATGAAACGTCGTCGTTTTTAAAAAAAGGTCATGCAAACCCGATGAACATGGACGACAATCCTACGTGGGGGTCGTCAGACCTTGCATGTCACCCCCCCATAACGCCATCCGTGGAAGGAAATGGCGATGACAGACAAGAATTCCATTATGGTGGCGATGGAGAGCGCCACTTGAGTCACAACGGGTCGGCCTTTGGTGGCACGATGCCGCGCGTGCCTTCCTTCGCTCGCATCGGGACAATGTCACGCGCTCCATCGATGACTCGGGTTCCGTCCATGAACCGTGTGGGATCGTCGAGTCGACTGACGAGGGGTGTGTCTTCAAGTCAGTTGGTGGCGCTTCGTCGGCGCGCGACGACGTCGACGTTGACGGTGGTGCTGCAGATCACCAACCAAGAGTTGCAAAACTTGGACGGGTTTGCCACCATGGGTATGCATCGCACCGTGGTGTCGTCCTTTTCAAACTTGTGTGCGATCTACGTGCAGCGCAACAAGATCGATTCGCTGGACGCAATCGCGGCCTGCTCCAAGAGTCTCCTCGTTCTCAACGTCGCTTTCAACGCTCTAGAATCCCTTCCTTCCTCGGAATTTTGGGCGCACTTTACCCACCTTAGTGTGCTCGACGTCAGTCACAACCACTTGGCCAAGTGGAAACACGTCCACGGCGTCCAAGCATGCGCCAGCCTCGTGCTGTTTCGAATTCACGGCAACCCCATCTCCGCGCAGCCGTCGTGCCGCGCCGTGCTTGTCAACCAGGTAATACATATATATAAATTGTCCTTTTACCCCAAGTTTGGACTTTTGTGCTGAATCGCCAAGTCTATCAATCGATCGATGCATTGTAACTGATTCATTTGTATGTAAAAACGTGTGCCCTGTGGTATCGTATCACACTAATTGAAGTCACACACTAATTTGACGTTTATCGTAATCTGATTGGCTAAATCCTTCTGCCGATGATTCTTGCGTACATGTATCTGGTTGTGTCGATTCATTATTCTCCATGTCGCTCCAGTTTACAGTTAGAATAGACACAACACTAATTAATATATATATATATCATTACATATATAAATATCCCTATATATATATATAAATATCCTTATATATATATCCTTATATATATATCCTTATATATATATCCTTATATATATATCCTTATATATATAAATATCCTTATATATATATATATCCTTGTACACCGCGCGTAGTCTATTGTATGACGTAGCACGTGTGTGCACCCTAGATGCCGTTTCTCCTGGCGGTGGACGACCACGTGATCACCGACGAGGAAAAGATCGAAAATGCTCGTACATACGCTGTCACATATATGTTTTACGTGGTTCACGGTGGACCTGAGATAGAGTTTGGTCCGCGATTTCAAGCTAAACACGATCGCATGTTTGTGCACATGTGGAGTCCATGGCTTCACGGACCCCCCATGGTGTCCACAAACGAAGCGGTGGCGCCTGCTTTGGCTCGTACCCTCGTCTCTCTCAAGCGACTCGTCGAAAGCAACAGGTAAAAATAACTACACACATATATATGCATATATCATAGTAATATTGTAACCATGTGTGACACTGTTGGGGCATGGAATGCATCTAAAATGAACTAGCCCAGTGATTATTGCCCAGAGAGTGTGGCGGGGGTACTGCAGCCGTAAATGGAAGATGCGTCCGTTGCACATCATGCGGCACGCCGTCCACACGATCCAGCGAGTAGTTCGTGGCTCGTGGCTCCGTCGCCATCTTTGGGTATATAACCAACTTTGATAACCTATTGTGGGGTATATATAGCCAACTTTGATAACCTATTGTGTATGAGTTGGTTGGCCTGTTTGGTTGTTTTTTTCTAGTGTTTTTTACGATATATATTGTAGACGCAACTGCGTCAGGTGCTTGTGCCCTTACACAAGGAGAGGCTGCTGCTTCCAACATGGGAGATGCAGCGATACCGCGCGGCCCCGCGCATCTTGGCCGTGTGGACAGCCCGGCGTGACCATTTTCGAGCCAAGAAAGCCATGAATCACATCAAAACGTGGCTCCGATCAGTGGTCACAACATCGTCGCAGCTGCGACAGGCGATGGTTTCGTCCAGCGACCAATTGCGCATTTACTGCGACACTGAGAGCGTCCAAGCGGTTCTGGATGCCGCCGCAAAATGCATGGCCCTTGACGCCCGCGTACGTCCCCCCCCATATATATATAGTCCTTTTACCCAAAAATATGTTGATTTTGATTTTAGTGAAATATATATATATATGTTCGGACTTGTGTGCTGAAAATCTCCAAATCTATCGATCGATTCTTCTTTGTACTGAATGTTGGATGTAAAACGGTGTCCTGTGGTATATCACACTAATTTAAGTCAAACACTAATTTCACGTGGATGATGCTGGTTGTTTCCTGCAATCTGATTGGGTAAATATATATATATATCCTCGTTCCGATTCATTCATTCATTCTCCATGTCGGTCTAGTTTAGAATAAACACGAAACAATATATATCATTCAAAAATTCAATTCATTCATGCATTCATATACTGTATCATCGCAGACTCTTTTTTTGTGGCGTAGCTGATGGGAATTGACGCCAGTCACTTGGCGTCGCGGGTGGTTCCCACGGACATCGCCATCTTCCGCCCGTCGACGTTCAATGTTGTTTGCCGCGAGCATCGGCACTCGTGGCGGCGAACCATCCCGACGACCATCAAGTGCGACGGCGTGTTTCGCCGCCTCCGACGCGCGACCCACGACCGAATGCACATGCTCCATGCCGAATGTAACGTCGTCGCAGACGACGTGCGCAGGTACTACATATATTCGCCACATCGTGTATATATATATATATATATCGAATGGCAATACCCAACCACGTTTTTGCTGGTGTGTTTATGATGGCGACCAATGTGTGACACGGTTTGACGGGTAGACTACTGTCCACAACTACGGATGTATCACCTGCCGCTTCCCCCCTCGCCCGACGCCATCTAACGTACCAAGTCGCGGAATCCCAAGAGCGTCATGCATGGCTAAGTACAAATCGATCGAAATACCAACAGGTCTGTGTATTCCAATATGACCGTCGTTACTATTGGCTAATCCAATTTTGAGTGGATTTGATTGGCTCTAAACGACAAATATATTCAACTAATCAAAACTCCATAGCGTGATTACTGATTCGACAGACCACGCGTTTTTTTTATAAGTTTATAGCGCGAATGTACTATATACATATATATATATATATTCCGTTTCCATGCGTATATATGTATCGTCGTCGTGTCTCCCCTTTGGTTATATATATATTATATATATATATATATATATTCGTCGTGTCTTCCCTTTGGTTGGATCGTGTGGTGTCTATCATTTCACGACTTTATAGAAAGTCAAACAAAGCCACCACCGTCGAACGCCGTGTCTGTTTGAACGGCCCGTGGCCATCCAACCCAGAGGCAACTCGTACATTCGCCCCATTCATTCCTTCTCGCCTTGTGATATAATATTTTCACTATGGAGTAGCCACGTCGTGCAAGTAGTACCCAAGGCCATAACGACGACGCCTACCCACCAAATGCTCATGCTCTTCGTGCCTACCAGCGTCGCCATGCATCGGCGCATGCTGCTCCTACTCAAGCGCACCACGCATCACGCCCATGCACTTCGCATCTACTCGCCTCTCGCCATCGCCCACCTCTGCGCCGCCACCACGCTGCAAGCCACGTGGCGGTCCTACCAAGTTCGACGAAACTGCCAATTCATCAAGTTATTTCTCCAACGACGGGCGATTTTGTGTCTGCAGCGGTAGTACCCCCCTTCTTTGTTTGCTTGTATATCGAGCATGCTGGCCATGTCTACGATTTTAGGGTCCTGATATATATATATATATATATATATATGGTTATTCAGGTGCCGTGATTGGCCCTTTCTATGATTAGGGTATATATATGGTTATTCAGCTGCCGTGTATGGCCCTTTCTATGATTAGGGTCACGATATTTATATGTATGATTTCAGTTATATATATATGTATAGTGTCGACTGTCCATTTGAAGTGGATTGTTCTTAAAACTGCACGGAGAGAATATATATATATATATATTCACCCTGTATAAAGACATATATAGTCATCAGCTGCTCACTCATGTGGACGTTGGACTGAACTCCACGTACGAATATCATCTGAATATTTGTATGTGGGCAGGTGGTGGCGATGCCTGTCGACATTGGCGTGGCGCGCCGACATGTACGAAGCATGCGTACGTGTCGTGGCAGCCATTGACTCGAGCGTCGTGTACATGGAGGAGAGGGTGTTCATGACGCTCAAGCATCCATCTCTGGTCCAGCGCGCGCTGGATGCGATGCCTCGGCTTCCTAGCCACGGCTGGAAGTTTAAGTTTTCAAATCGTGAGCTCACGGTACCCATCACCCTTGACGAGAGCCTGTCGAGGCTGCCCGAGGACGAAAAGCAGACGTACCTCAACACGTTTTACGTGGAAAATGGCCTCGAACGCGTGGGGTTTCCCGTGTGGATGCCGTCGACGCCACCTCATGAGATTGTCGGCCGAGAGGAGAAGCAAGTGTCCAAGCAACAGGTGGTGTATTCGTATATATATATAAATATATATATTGTCGATTTGATACAAATTTGGGGAGGGGTGGGTGCAATCGAATCGTCGCGCCGACGGAACCGATCTACAATCGATCTGATTGGTTGAATTTCATTTAGAAATGGGTTTTGATTGGCTAATAATTTTGAGCTCATCTGAGGCAGCCAATCAAATCGATTTAAATTCCAACGAGAAACCACACCACAACACAATGAAATTTCACTCGAACGCACAATATATTATCACGATGTTTTGGTCTTGAGTAGGAGCAATGATATATATGGTCGTTATTACTTGTACTTGAAATTTGGGGGACTTTTGTGCTGACTTAACCATGATGTACCTATCGATTTCGATTGATTGTGGTACTCACCACAGTACGTGTATACATACCATATTGTGTATTTCACCTACAGTATATTTGGACGACTTGGTAGTGATTATTTCGCCAAATACAGTAGTAACTTTGCATTCGAATCGATGTGATCTCATTTAAGCTTGTACAAACTGTACTACTACTATAGAACGATGAGTATATATCTGGTTTTGCCCAATGCAGACGGGTCAAACGTTTCGATTGGCAGAAACTCAGCAGAACGTGATTTGATTGGCTTAGGCATTATTCCCTTGGGACATACATGTCAACGTGTTTGGTTGTTTCTACAGACTGGCATGGCAATCTCACCTACTATAGATATATATTCAGCCCCATCGTTCAGTATATATATATATATTATCCTTGTGACTGATGGCTTTGAGAACGTCGTGGTGTGTTTTTTAGGTGGGGCTGATAATCACACAGCATTGCATCGAATCGGTGGTCACGGATGCGGTGGAGCCGCCGACTGCCCTGGACGACACGGAGCGGTGCAGTGCCATCGACTTTGGCGCGTTCACGGCGTGCCGCAACATTCTGCAGGACAATGAGACACTGGTCAAGTGGTCTTTGAACGACGTGGGCGACATGAACTGGTATTCCGCGTTTGGAATCACCCTGGTCAAGCTCGAGTTCGACTCTGTCGCAGAAGCCCGGCACCGCGCGGCCATGCTCCTTGTCAAAACATTCGACGCGCGACACAAAACGTATGCCCGCTTGTATACCGTTGGCATGCTGCGGTACCTCTGGCTGAATAAACCTGTAAGGAACTAGATATATATATATACGGCTTGTGTGTGGTGCCAACTTTGGTGCCCAATGAGTCGTAGTGTTCTTCTTTTTTAAATGTGTATTTGAATCGGTGGGGATATATATATATTATTTTTAAATTATTATTGGCCTATTATTAACTACAGCACATGCCCATCATATACTAGTATATATATTATATATATATGATGGGCATGTGTTGTGCTTCTATGATGGCGGCGGTATGTTGTTTTACTATTGAATGCCTTGACACAATTCATACACATGTACACACTTGTGTGTGTGTGTTTGTGTGGGCCAGATGTACGTCGACTGAGAGTGTATATACTTGACCTCGGCACATCGATTTCTCTGATATACATATATATATATATATATATTTCACGACTGTGTAGGCGACAAGTCGACACGGGTATGTGTTTAGCCGCGACTGGATTCGGTTGGGCCTGGACATGCCTTCAAGATGGGGATGTCATCACGATGCATACAGCCACCAAGGAGGCGGCTGCGACAGCGCGCACATGCGCCACCGGCCGTCCACGGTGCCCGGGGCGACCGAAGCGTTCTCTGCGAGCGAGGTCACGGCGTCACAGAGCCATCGAAGCCACCTGCTGTCGTCGCACATGGAACGCGAGAATGACGTGGCAGCAGCAGGCAGCCCCACCGCCGCCATGCTCGTGCACCACGTGACAGTGGCAAAGGATTTAGACCCGTCGTACCAACTGCATGTACTCAAGCAGCAGCAAGCCGACACCGTGCGCCTCGAGTCGGAAGCGCTGGAAATCACTCGGCACCACGACAAGTCCGTCGCGCTCAAAGCCAAGCAAAGGCACGTCGCTACCCAGCATTTCCGTCCCCGTCCCCCCCCCAATGCGACGTCGACTTGTCCAACTCATTCTTCTTGGACGGTGGGTGCTATGTATGTATATCTTTTTCATAGCTTGATATATTGTGAAATATACTTGAAGCTATTGCTCAATGTTTAAATTTTCTTAAACTTGTTAATAATATTTTTTCTTTTTTATTATTATTCCAAATATAGAATAAATTTTCTTTTTTTATGATCGAAATTTAATTTTCATTTAAAAAAAATAGTTCTCTTTTAAAATTAAAATTTAATAAATAAAAATATTTTAATTAAGTATATTTTAAAATAATTTTATTTATTTTTTAATTTGTTTAAAAAATTAATTTTTTAAAATAAATTTGAATCATGTCATTTTCGGAGGAACGAGCTACTTATATACTACTAGTAGTATATATAGTATATAGTAGCAGCAGGTAGTTGTTATAGGGATCGAAGGCTGGACTGGGAGTGGACTTGGTCAAGTCGTCCAATCGTACGGAGGAATACAAATAGTATACTGTATCGCATGATGATGTGACTAAAGTTTATGGTGCAAAACGATATATGGGAATGAATGTAAACATCGAACGGTGTCACACAACACACTTTTATGTGTGTACAGTCTACGGCGGCGAGTCGAAAATCGAAATTTCAAGACAAACAGCTTGCGGTGGACAGTGCGATCCGGGCCGACGAAGCGGGGGAGGCGCGCGCCGCGGCCATCCTGTATCGCATGCGACTGACCCAACGCGCCAACCAAGCCACGGCCGTGGAGCGCCAGATGGTCGCGCGGGAGAGCTCAGCGGCGATCGCAGCGCACAAGATCCAAATCGATGCCCAGCTACAGCGCGCAGCGTACGAACAGGCGCAGCTGCTGCTCGTGAAACAGCAGCGCAAGGCGGTGGAAGTGGCTTTGGCAAGGCGGAAGAAGGCGCAGCGCCAGTTTGCGCGCCATTTCGGCCAACAGACTGTCGGGCTCATGCGATGCCACGCGAGGGACCGCGCGCAGGACCGTGCCGTGGCCGCGTTGGACCTGCCGGTGGAGCATGTCCAGTTTGCCAAGGTCGCAGAGAAGAAAGTGGACGAGTCCATTCGAGCTAAACGCACCGAGCGACTCGTGGCCAACCAGCGACACCGTGTCATGCAGTCGATGGAGATTCAAGCGGCGCTCGAGTTTCAAGAGACCCAAGAACGACACCGGCTAGACGATATCCAAGCCCGCGTGGCGCAAGAACGCAAGCTCAAGCAACTGCTACAAACCGAAGATTTCTAGCGAGATAGGATGATAATGTATTTTTATTAACGTACATGGCCAGTTTATAGTTTAAGATGCACTCAAATTGACCAATGGAATAGCTTGATTTTTGGAATAGCCAATCGAATCACTAAAAAAGAAAAAATCGCCAAAAACGAAGCAAAACCCGCATACATATTTTAAGCTAAAACCGTGCACCATAAACTGTCCCTCCTATTTTGCCTTGACATGAGTGGAAATTGAAGTAAATGAACGTAAGCTGAAGTCCATTTAAGCCGATTAAATACTCAGAAGAATGTTCGGCTTCATGCAACAGCACTTTTCAGAATTGAAATCCCGTTCCTAAGAGACGAGTAAGCTTCATTCTACGACTAATAGGTCTGCACCATAAGTTGGCCATCTATGTTAGTATTAACTTGGAACTGCCTTCGTTGAACGACGGGGCCATAGTAGACTGCCCCCTACGGAAGTTGTAGCTACAGATACCAAATGAGCTGCTATAATGTGTAGCTATAGCCTAAATGAGCCATCATTTGTAGCTGTAGCCAACTAGCTATTGTCAAATCGATTCGAATCAGCAGAATGTCTTTCGATTAAAGAACCGCCTGAACCAATCAAATCACGTCAAGTCGAATTTCTGCTAATCCAAACATTTGACCCCTCTGCATTGGGCAAAACCATATATATGTTAGTGGTGAAATGAATCTCAAGTCCAAATTTGGGTGAAATGCACAATGCCTGTAGCTTCCAAGTGAACTATAATATAGCCAGCTAGCTACCTTCCAACAGCGCCAGAGTGTGAAACTGTGATATTAATGCCCATGTCTACAGTAGCGTTGCCAAGGACGTTAGTCTATCCTGTTAAAAGCAATGGTCCCGGATAACTATTATCCGTACTGGAGAGATTACTTGTTTGATTGAACGGACAATTTTAAAGTGATACAAACAATTGATACAAATATTCTCCTAAATGACATTTCAAAACATTTGAAGGTCGTTGATTGAGAGTGTATCAATCAGAACGCAATGAGAGTCCCTCGCAACGTTGTGAACATGATCAGCGACACGGTGACGCAGCCGTGCGCCCGCATGCGTCAGGCCATGGCGACGGCGGTCGTAGGCGACGATGTACATGGCACGGATCCAACGGTGCGCGAGCTGCAGCGCACGGCCGCGGACCTGCTCGGCAAACCCGCGGCGTTGTTTGTGCCTTCGTACGGCCCCATATCAGTCCTTCCTCTGCTTGGTCGTCCTCAAAATTCCTTCCGATGTAGAGGCACCATGGGTAATCTCATTGCGGTCGGCGTGCACTGCAACCGCGGGGACGAGGTCATTCTCGGCAACAAGTCGCACGTGTTCAAGTACGAAGGCGGCGGCGTGAGCGGTAACGACTCCACGTCGACTCCAAGCTAACTCCAGATCCTTGTAGCGTTCTTGGGCGCGAGCATGCACACGGTTCCCAACCAGCCCAACGGTGAATTACGACTGGACGACGTCGAAGCCGCCATCCGAGACGACGATCCCCATTACCCAAAGTCCTCGGTCTTTGAGAATGCTGCGTCTACTACTTCACCGATTTTGATCTTTCTAGGACTAAACTGGTGATTGTTGAGAATACTCACAACACATGCGGCGGGCGAGTGGTGTCGACGGATGCCGTCGCGGCCATCGGCGCTCTCTGCGTCCGCCGAGGGCTCCATCTACACATCGACGGTCACCATTGTCATAATGTATACACTTGCATCAGATTTTGTATCATTTTAGGCGCGCGGTTAGCCAATGCCAGCGTGTACTTGGACCAATCCATGGCCGAGATGGTGGCGCCAGTCGACTCGGTGTCGCTCTGTCTGAGCAAGGGACTCGGCGCTCCCGCCGGGTCTATCATTGCTGGTTCTGAAGACTTTATCTATCACGTACAGTACACCAACCACACTATGTTGGGATGACAAAGATTCGATTCACGCTGCATATATAATTAGTTCGTCGGATTTTCTTTTTTTTTTTTGTCCAAATATACTGCATGTACCATTGGTTTCGCTAGGCAACGCGTTTGCGAAAGGCTCTGGGCGGTGGTATGCGACAGAGTGGCGTCCTTGCAGCCGCGGGGCTCGTTGCATTGGGCAATATTGATCGACTTGCTATCGACCATAGCAATGCGCTGCGCTTGGCCCTTGGCTTGGTTCGTAAAGTAGACAAAACAATTACGATATTTATACGAAAATCGACGGTTTTAGGCTAAAATTCCAGGCATCCACGTAAATGTGGATGTGGTGGAGACGAATTTGGTGTATTTTTCACTGGATGCGGCGGCCATGTCGATGGTGGACTTCCTTGCGCACCTCGAAGACGACCATGGCGTGTGGCTTGGTGGTAAACTATGTTGAGAAATATATTATGATTTGGAAAGTTTAAATAATATTAGTGTGGAAACCATAGTATTAACACATGGAATGCTTCGTGGGCGTACTAGGGGGATATGGCAAAAGCGGGAATCAAATTCGAGCGGCGCTGCACCTGGATGTCAACCAAGATGACGTTGAGTACACGCTCAAAGCTATCAATGCAGTGCTGTCTTACTAACCAAGCGATCATTGTTTTGCAGACAGCAACATGACTAACTAGTACTACCTCTGTCCCGGTTTTATTGCTCCAAACGGCATTTTTGAGAAACGAACACAATGTTTTCTGAGAAGTATAGAGTATGCGGTATGTTTCAAAAGATCAGAACTCGGCGAATTCAATTGAAATCAAATTGAGTTCAAATACATCCAATCAAATACAGTACGAGAGAGCAATCAGAAGACTCCATACTGTGGCTCATATAATTGAAATAACCACGCTCAATAGAAACAAAGTACGGATAAAAGGAACGACATCCGTACATACAAGCCTCAAATAACGTTAGTATTTTCACCGTAACTTCGCCAATATTACTCCAATTTTGATTGGCGCTATCGCTTGGCCAATTTCAGGCCAAGGTCGCTTGCCCTTGTCGATTGAAGCAGATGCTGGCGTTGTCAACGCCAGTATGGAATTGCTAAGTGAGTGTGACTTGTCTACAGTCATCTTAGAATTGGCGAGCGAAGTGGCGAAGAACTTGGAAATGAGCGATGTCTGCACGGAGCTTGAGCGTCTGGATATCGTGGAAGATTCCGATGATGAAGAACTTGACATACCAGTGGTACCAGTACCATGGGTACTTGGATTAAACATTTGAAATAAATGTACTTGATTTTTGTATGCGAAATACAGTGTTTTTTCTTCAATCCACTGTTGCACGTTTGGAGCAGCAATTAAAATGGAACTTCAAGAATCTCGTTTGGAGCAATAAAACCGGGACAGAGGTAGTAACAAACAGTACTAGTGTAGTACTTGTAATTAGATATTGTCAAATC